AGGCACAGCTCAGCATTCGATAAGAGCTATGACCACACAAAATTAGAAGTCCCTAGCTATCATGGTTCTTGAGTCACACGGGGCTCGCTACTTTTGCGGAGTACTGTAAAATTTAATAGTAATCTGAACACTCACCAACAGTAAATGATGGATTAAATAAATGACACACCAAAATAAAAATAATTGTGTAAATAAACGTAAAAAAGTCATTATTGCTGAATTAATAATGATTTGTTGGTAGATCTCCTAGAAACAATAAAAAATCGTTTCTGAGACCAAACCATCATAAGATTCTTTACAATAAAACTATTGTATCAGTCATAATAACAAACAGATGAGTAATCAATGAAATGACTCATCGATTAAAGTAAACATATGACGTTTTCTAGTCAACACTTACCAGAATCGCCATTTTCGTAATAATAATTCAAATAAAAATAGTCTTTTATTTCGAGATAGTATTGATGCATCATTTTCAATGATATTTTTCGGTTGCATACAAATATATTCGTCATTGCACATTCTTAGCCATGTTCTAAAATTGTTCAATACCGATATGATATCGTTTTTCTATTAAATCAATTACAAAAAAAACATCATGAAAAAACTGTTGTTCAGTCGAATAATAATTTCGAAACTAAAACCTCATAAATATTTAAATGCTGAAAAATTGAATTTTTACGACAAAAGTTAAAAAAACAATAAAATAAAGTTCAAATCGTCATTTTTTTTTTAATTAAAAATAAATTATTCAGTGGGAAAATAGCAAAAAAAATAGTTTTCATTATACATAGAAACATTGTACAAAATAAACATAAACAAACTGTGGTACATTGTTTTTTCAAAAAAGAAAAACCGGTTTATTATGGCTTTGTAGATAAATAAGCAAAATACTAAAAAATCATTTTAGCTAAAATCGACAAAAATATTACAACTGAGATTGAAAGTGAAAAAAGCAGAAAAATATTAATGGTTTTGCTCAGATTGACGACGATTTTTATAAAATGGTATAGCATTAAATGATGATTGTTGTTGAGAACTCGTAGATTGAGTATGACGATTTTGTGACTTCATAACGATCGGATGTTGAATAGCCGTTACTGACGGTTCAGAAGATTGATGTGGCAGATAAGAATGATTATGAGAATTGCTGTGCTGTGCCTGAGAATACGGATATGTGTAGTGTTGTGGTTGATAAGAGGGAGACGACGAAACAGTGAAATGTGTTTTGGCTGCCATTATCGTCGTTGGCGAAGGTGATCGTCGAGAAAAAAACGGGGTATCACCTGCAGTTGAAGTTGGCGGTGTAACAATTGATGATGAAACTGTTGCTTTTGTTGTGGGATTTGGTGGCGGGCCGCTATAGACTGACACGTAAAGCGGAGAGTATTGTGTGTTTTTTAGATTTGTGCGTATTACTTTTGATGAAACTAATGGCGTAGCAGGTGTATAAACAGATGGCTTTATTGGCGATAAGTTTGGCGGAACATACGGTGCGTTAGACCATAAAGGAGAATTCAGTTCGGATGAGCCACCATTGTTACTGCTTAAATTGGTAGTGGAACAAAAACAGGGTTCATCGAGCGATGATGAAAAAGCGTTGTTATTATGAATATTGCCAGATGAACAGGAAACATTGGGGGTTTGTGCTTCTTGGCTTAACATGAAACCCCCAGAAGATTGTAATATTTTATTATCAGGATATGGTGAGATTCCAGTGACAGGTTTTCCAAGATGCTAAATGGACAAAATACAAATACAAATTAAAAGTATCATCATCAGTATAATAAATTCAATACCTCTTGTGAACGACTTATATTAAACAAACTTTGATGTTGTTGATCTGTGGATGAATCAGAATCTGATAAACGTGGCGCTGCATTTAACGGCACAACATCATCGAAGTCACTTGGTGAATTACTGTTATGTTTGGACTTATATTGTTCAGGTGGTGATAACTGACCCGCAAACGATGTAATTGATGCAGTTGATGATGAACGGTTTCCTCGACTTGAAAAGGATTTTAGAGCAACACTGTCGTCAAAATCATCATAACTTCCAGTCTAAAAATAGATAATGTTTATCAATGATAAACACGAAAAAGATATTCAATGTTGTTCAACTTACTTTATCTTTCGAGTGCTCAGTGTCTGATAAACTGCTGTTTCGTCCTGATTGTTTCGTTTTTGAAAATGATGATAATTTTGCCCAATTAAATTTTGGTGAATCACGTAGAGATATTGAATCTGACTCGTTTTCGCTATCGCCACTGATGTGACCGTGAGTTATAATACTATTACCACCGCCGGCACTGGTAGGTGTTAATGATGGTGAACTTTCTCGTGATTGTGATGCAGAATTTAATGGTGAAGATTGAATAAACCCTTTATTAAAACCGCCAATTTTTGTATCATCTATATTGAAATTAATTGCTGCAAGACCCATTTTATTCATCCATTTCGCCATTTCATCACGTGACGAACAATAAAAATATTCTCTATATTTATTTTCATCGGTAATTCGGAATGCACTTTTAAAAAGGAAAGGAAAGAAGCCTCCTATAGAATAATGAATACAGTTATTATGTATACATACTATTTCTTTTTTTCAGGAGCTGGAGAAACATTTTTTCCCTCTAATTTGATTTCCATATTCTGATTGTTGTCCTGTTTAATAAAAAGATAAAAATAATTTATTTCATCATAATCCTAGAGAGTTTCCAATAGCGCCTCTTTTAAGTTTTATGAACGATTTTCTCGACGTGCATAGTGATGAGTCCTCATCTCTGCTGGTTAAATAATAGTACATGTAACAAAATCATTATCTCTTATGAACGTACATCTTTTGATTTATAGATATACAACGTGCCACCTTTTAATACACACCAATAAAGCCGCCATTGTAATAGTGATAAAGTTCCTTTGGGTAAATAACGATGCAGAAAGCCTTCACAATCACCTTTTCCTAGATCTTTACACGATATTTTACGATATGATGCTAAAACAACAACAAAAAACAAGATATATATAAGAAAAACGTAACTTTCTAGTACAATCACTTGTTTAGATATGTTTCTATAATAACTCAGGTTACAAGAGGCTCGCTTGAGCAAATTTTTTCCTGTGCTTTGCCTAGTACTTTGCCCACTTCCATAAAAATTTTCTACTCGATACGTCCTTTCGTTGCAAAGCTATGGCGGCTCGAAAGTTGAAAAAACTTAATTTTCTGATGACTCATCACCTGAAAACTGAATTTTTGATTATATAAAAAGACATAAAAAGAAAAGGAAAGCAGCGCATCCTGTAGAGAATTGAATTGTGAATCTAACCATATGATTAGTGTTCAACTTTGTATACTTTTTTTTGTTGTTCTTTAGATATAATCATTTTACAACCATCTTTTCCGTTTTTTGTAGACCGACCTTCTCTTACAGTTTTTCCCAAAAGTCCGCCACTGAAGAAATTTTTGGAGTGGCTAAATTGTAGATCAGACGTCGGTCTACAACTCTATTTAAAAAAATCCAGTTTCCATGATTTGGTAGAGATAAAAACAGCTTTCATTCTTGCGGAAGTCAATTTCCGCTCTAAATGTAGACTGACTTTTTGCAACTTGTTTTGCTCAGAACTAATGAAGTATGCATTCGTTCTCGATGAAA